TGTTGATCCAAATGGTACTGTTTCTTTTCAAGCCATGTTAGCTTCTTTTGGCTGTTTTTTGTTTCTCGGATCATGTCTCCAATAAGAAGACAGACCCCGCATTTTGAAAATCGATTTCTCTGTTAAATAAAGATGGACATGGTGTCATAATTTGATTTTTGAAATACCGTATAAACGTAAAATACCTTTGGGATAATGACTTCGGGATACGTTTCCAGCCACATTGACCTAAACTGAGTTTTTTTTAGTGGCTGCTTCACTGACTCAGTATAAGCCTTGTACACCTTTCTTATGGTTTGGCAAGCAGGCAGCTCCACCCTTGGGCTATCAGGCATTCTGTTGCCCATGGCAGTGGAATACTCGCCAAACCATAATTGCGCTTCCATAAAGCGTTCAGATTTTTTACAAATCCCTGTTCGTCCATGAATCGGAGTTCGTATCCCTCTTTGGAATGCGTTCCTCCAGTGGTGAAATCTAGCGAGTGAAAGAGTTGTATTAAAAATCCTCAAAAGATATTTAGAAATCGCATACATAATTAAACTTACCGTCCATATGACATGCCATAACAGAAAATCCAAGCTTTCTGGCACAGTATCTTCCCTTCGACAGTATAATTATATACGTCTCTCCCACCTCGTTTTTTAAGACACAGTTGGAAGAAATTAAGCAACCRCTGGTCTTGACTCTCTCTATCCATTTCAAGGAATTCTACCCTTGATTTTTGAATATCTGCTTTATAAAGAATTAAGTGGACGCAATCTTTGTGGCAGCACTTAAAATCTTTCATAGCATTTTCTATATAGGACAGAGTCATTTTTATATTACTTTTTTTGATAACAACTTTTTTTCTCCCAACACTCCCTTTTCTCTTCTGCACGGTCTTACGAACTGTGGGCTCTTCTATTATGTAGTTATCCTGTATATCGAAAAGAGTATTACTATGAGATTACAATTGTTSTAATGACGATTGCGGTATAGTTATCTCACCCTATGATCTTCATCGAAGCTTGAGTCCATGGGTCTACTCTCCCGCTCCATATCATTAATGTCCTCCTCCGCGTCGCTGTCATATAGAACATTTTCGTTGCTTTTTTATGTCGTAATAATTTTCAATACAAATGTAGCCAACTTACTGGTGTAGTATTGTCCATATATTCGTTATCACAAGCACTTTGATGGTTACATGCACCACCACACGAACAACCATCGATGTTTGTAGACATACTACCTGCTCAACAACGAGATAACATTTCAACCATTYATAAAGTATTGACTCAGGGAGACGATTTCATCGGAAAGTACTTGCAATTACACACTWAAGTGAGTATATTGCACCTTACCTTAGTGTTTAAAAAATTTCATGGATTTCTATCTGTAAAGCTGGAAGTACTAGGAGTATTTCAAATTTCGCGCTCACGGACGATGTCCAATTATCAGCTWGAAATGATAGTGTGGATGCAGTGACATAAAATATATAATAACGTCAAGAGCTGTTGACACGATGACGTCATCGTTAGTCATTGCCTCAGCGCGCACAATAAAATCACGATTAAAGCTAGTCAACATATCGGCTCTTGAAAAATTCAAAGCATCAAAATATCCTTTTGCTTGTGTATCAGCAAGGATCGTGTASTTTCCTTCTACAAAGTGATAAACGCTCAAAAAATATAATGGCGCTTACTAAGTGGGATACATTTACCTCATTTGAATTTGGCGCTCAAAACCACGCTAATCAAATTTGAATTTGGCGGTGAAAATAACTAAATGAAAGCCACTTRAGTGTCCTGTATCACTTCACTCGAATCARCGAATACGTCCGAGAGAAGTGCGCGTRAAGATGTATCGCTTACCGTTTCAAGAGATTTTTCCTTGCGCAAAAAGCACGAATCGTGTACCCTCGACAAACAATCAAAACGATGTGCTGGAGTTAGCAAGAGATATAAGAAGGTGGATGTTTGTATACTTAAAAAAGAGTGAGGAATCTGTTGAAGTACCACTGCAAGGAGCCAACAAAGCGATGGACCGGGATCTCAACACGAGTAGTGGGGGAAGGCGGCAACGAGCGCAATTAAAATGGTTTAAATAAATAAATATTATAATAAAAATGGAGAAACAAACAGTGAAAGAATTGAAAGCTCTCACCAAAGAGCGAGGTATCAAAGGCTACTACAAATTACGTAAAGCCGAACTCATCGAAGTGCTGGGTAATACACCACGTAATATTGTCCCTAACACATCATCGAATATTCTTGATGAACCGATTCCTGAGATTAATGTCCCCATTCTCAAACCTTCCCAACCCACAAGAAAATCCCTTATTCCATCACTCAAACATTTAGCAAACAGAGCAGCTAACCCAGTCAAGGAAGAATTGAATAAGTTTGCGGATTGGATTTTGTCCCACGTTCCCGAGTCCATTAAAAGAACCGTTAATAAACGAGTGGACAGTCTAAAGGAAAAGGTGAACGACCTATTCAAGAGACTTGACCACTTTACACCCAAAGAACAACAAACGGCGTTGCGAGGGTATCTAAAAACCTATAGGATAGATGGACAGAAAGGGTATGACCCCAAGACGTTCATCAGCAATATCAAACCAAAAATTATGGATCTTATCAAGCAGCGGAAGAAACCTATCAAGGTTAAGTTTATCTTTACCTGTAAATTCATAAAAGAGAATCCAGCTACTGGTCAGATTGATGAAAATTCAGGATACTTTCATTCTTTAGTAGAAACCATAACAGAGTCAACCGATTTTTCTAACTCGTTTAATACAATGACAAATCGCATACTTGAATCGATTGAGCAATTTCAAAACCGAGGCTCTGGGTGGCAGTTTAATCAGGTTGAATGCTTTGACATTAACATCAACCTTTTTAATCCGCTATCTGGAAGCTCATATATTAAACTGCCATCAGAATTAGCATCCAAGCAAGCAATAATTAACGTTAAGAACGAGAGGGATCATGAGTGTTTTAAGTGGGCGGTAACGACTGCTATGTTTCCTAAGAAAAAAGATCCTCAAAGACTAAATAAACAACTGAGAGAAAACTCCATGAAGTTTGACTGGACAGGTATAGAATTTCCCGTCTCCCTAAAACAGATTGATAAGTTTGAAAAGCAAAACCCCTACGCGATTAACGTCTACGGTTATGAAGGTGTGGTATACCCTCTAAAAATAAGTGATAAACTTGAATCGGTAGAGCAATCTCATGTGATCAACTTACTTCTCATATCAAACGATGAAACAAATCACTACTGCTGGATTAAAGACATGAGTAGACTTTTAGCCTCTGAGTTTAACAAACATAAATCGAAAAGGCATTTTTGTTATAGATGTCTTAACTCATTCCAGTCAAAGACCGCCTTAGAAAAACATTCTGAATACTGCTCTAAAAATGAAGAAGTTAAGATTGAAATGCCTAAAGATAAAGATGGGGATCCTCTTTATACAACATTCAAGAACTTTAACAGAAAGATGCGTGTCCCCTTTGTTGTCTATGCCGACTTTGAGTGCTTTACAGAGAATATAGACACTTGCTCCCCAGATAATAGTAGAAGCTTCACTAAGCAATACCAGAAGCATAAACCATCGGGCTTCTGCTATTTTATCAAGTGCTTTGACGACAACATATTTTCATCCGAGCTTGTACGACGCACAGCCGAATCCCCAGACGAAGATATCCCGCAGATATTTATTAAAAATCTAGAGTCAGACATTAAGGACATTTACAATAAGTTCAAGTTCACTAAGAAGGTTAGTAAGAGTAAGAAGGATACAATTTCCTTTAAAAATGCCACTCACTGTCACATCTGTGAGGGTGAATTAGGAGAAGATAAAGTTTTAGATCACTGTCACCTTACAGGGAAGTATAGAGGAGCGGCCCACAACGAATGTAACCTTCAATACAGAATTCCAAAATTCTTCCCAGTTATCTTTCACAATCTATCTGGATACGATTCACACCTATTCATCAAGAACCTTGGTAAATCAAAAGGTAAAATAAACTGTATACCTAATAATGAGGAAAAGTATATTTCTTTCACAAAACAGATTGTAGTGGACACATTTACAAACAAAGAAGGCAAGCAGGTTGATGTGAAACGAGACATAAGATTCATTGACAGCTTTAAATTTATGTCAACCAGTCTTGACAGTTTAGTTAGTAATCTGTCAACAGAATCTTTCAAAAACCTCACAACTTACTATGAAGGAGAACAATTACAACTGTTGTTAAGAAAGGGTGTTTTTCCATACGATTGGTTCGGCGACTTCGACAAACTCAACGCAACCCAACTTCCACCAAAAGAAGCGTTCTACTCCAGACTCAACGACACTGACATATCAGAGGAAGATTATCAACACGCCCAAAAGGTATGGGAAGCCTTTGAGATGAAAACCATGAGGGATTACCATGATCTCTATCTTGAATCTGATGTGTTACTGTTAGCCGACGTATTCGAAAACTTCAGAAATGTTTGTCTTGAGAACTATGGTCTTGACCCAACCTGGTATTACACAGCACCTGGTCTTGCATGGGATGCTGCTTTGAAGATTACCAAGGTGAAACTAGAGTTGCTGACGGACTATGACATGCTGCTCATGATTGAGAAAGGTTTACGAGGTGGTGTGTCTATGATAAGCAATAGGTATGGAAAAGCAAATAACCCCTATATGAAAGAGTATGACCCTGATCTTCCAACAAAGTATATCACATATCTTGACGCAAACAACTTATACGGCTGGGCAATGAGTAAACCTCTACCAACTCATGGGTTTAGATGGATGACTGACCAAGAGATAACAGGTTGGAAAAATCACCCACGCATCCTAGAGGTCGACCTGGAATACCCCCTTCACCTACATGACTTGCACAACGACTACCCGTTAGCTCCAGAGTCCGTTAAGGTCGATAAGGTTGAAAAGTTAATCCCAAACCTCAACAATAAGACAAAGTACGTAGTTCATCACGAGACCCTGAAACTTTACGAAAGCCTTGGACTAAAAGTCACCAAAATTCATAGGGGTATCACATTTGAAGAGTCTGATTGGTTGAAGCCTTACATTGACTTGAATACCAACCTACGTGCAAAAGCAACCAACGACTTTGAAAAAGACTTTTTCAAGTTGATGAATAACTCAGTCTTTGGCAAGACCATGGAGAACATCAGAAACAGGGTCGACATCCGACTTGTGACGAATGAAACCCAAGCCAAGAAACTAATATCAAAGCCAAACTATCAACATCGCACCATCTTTTGCGAAAATCTAGCCGCCATCCACATGAAGAAAACAAAGTTGGTCTTTGATAAGCCAGTTTACTTAGGCATGTCCATTCTAGACCTAAGTAAGACGCTAATGTATGGTTTTCATTACAATTACATCAAGCCTAAATATGGTGAAAAGGCCAAGCTGTTATTCACAGACACGGACAGTCTTGCCTATGAGATTGAGACAGAGGACTTTTACAAGGATATCAGCAAAGATATTCAAGCAAAGTTTGATACCAGTAACTTTCCAAAGGATCACCCATCTGGTATTGAGGTGGGTGTAAACAAGAAAGTCATCGGCAAGTTCAAAGACGAAGCAGGAGGTCAGCAACTTACAGAATTTGTAGGACTGAGAGCCAAACTTTACTCGTACAAGATGGATGAAGGTATAGAAGAAAAGAAATGCAAGGGCGTAAAGAAAGCTGTCGTAAAGAAATGCATCAGTTTTTACGATTACAAGGATTGTTTATTCAATAAACAACCTCAGATGAGGAAAATGAATGTAATCAGAAGTCATAAACACGAAGTTTACACTGAAACGGTTAACAAGGTCGCCCTATCACACGAGGATGACAAGCGAATCATTTGTGAGAATGGTATTCACACCTTCGCCCATGGTCATTTCAGAACGCTGTCAGGCGGTAACTCAGTATCTTCAGGAACGACTTGAAGTTCCTCTCTAACGAACGACCTCCTCGGTCCACCCTCCGATAGATAGTACAACACAGGCTGTCCAACCGAAACAACACTGCGTGATAAATCATAGATATCCAAACTCCAGACTGGATCCGTAGCACGGCGGTTATCACCTCCCTCGTCTTCACCCGGTGCAAGCAAATATCTTACTTTAACAGCAGGTGGTAGTCTCACTTCGTCAAGTCCTACAGGTCGCTTGTATTCGACGGGTTTAACATCAACTTCTTTCAGTTTCAAAGCTTTATCGGGTTCTTTTCCACTAATCCGTCTCGGCTTATTATTCATTGCTTCCAAAACTTCCGGTAATCTCTTCACCCATTCTCTCGATCTTTCATTTTCTAATAACATCTCTTGAGCATATTGATGACTATACAATCTTTCAGACAAAGTTCGATTTGCACGTTCTACCACAGATTGAGCTTTATGGTTTTTAACCTCACTTCGTTGAATTCGAACACCCTTCTTTTTCATGAGTTTTGTAACATCACCCATAAATTCTGTGCCAGGGTCGACAATCACCGTATTTGGCCACTTGAGTTTCCTTGAATAGATTCTTTCAAACGCTTTGGAAAGTCCACTTGAATCTTTACTCGTTAGCGCTTCAGCATCAACATACCTTGAAGCAACATCCACCACTAACAGCGCATATTTGTAGGTCTTTCGTTTTACAGTATCATGAGTTAAGAACAATAGATCAGCCTGGTGGATATAGTTTGTTTTGACAACAGCCCAATGCGGTCTCGGAATATGTTTTGGAGGTGGTAAATAGATTTGCCACAATGCCTGTTTCTCAAGCCACTTCTTAGATGTAGATTGGCTCACTTTAGCAGCATCTGCCAATTTATTGATAGCTTCATAGCCTTTCCAGTACCCTCTGGTACTGTAATATATTTTTGATAACATGCTTTCGTTACTCATTTAAAGATTATCTCTTTTTTCTTAAAATAAATTATGTCGAAAGCTATATCAGAGAAAATAAATCCAAACAGAATCCCACGAGAGCCTTTCGGCTTGAAGGCTGAAGCCTCGCTAAATCGAATCACACTGAACCCTTCATCCGCTAGTCCTGGAGAGACCTTGTATGTAAATATACCAAAACTTGCCGAAAATGTGGTTATCGTTCCAGGTAGCGTATCCTTACTATTCGACTTAGGCGTCACAGGGCATGCAAATAATACTCTCGTCAACAACGTTGGTCGAAACCTAGTGTCTAGGCTCAAGATTCTTTTCGGCGGAGAAACACTGCAAGATACCCAACGATACGATCTATTTCAAACGTATCACGACCTATTCATCCCCAAGGAGGAACGAGAGGATCTATTGAAACAGGGTATCTCATCAGAGAATATGAGAAAACTCAGAACGAACGCAGGAGACAAGGTTACMTCAGATGCAAAAGAGGTGGCTCTTGCAGCAGTACATWATACAAAATACAAAATCCCACTAGACCATCCTATTTTGAATGACCATGGTGTTTTCTACCCAAAGGCCCTACCACACCCACTTACATTTGAGATTACACTCGCTCCCGTATCAGACATTGTTGTGTATTCAAGCACCACACCAGCACCTAWTTACACCATCACAAACCTTGAACTGGAGTACCTATGCATTTCCAGTGAATACCTTGCTAGGGAGGCAGCGGCCTCCTATCAAATTRGGAAAGGCTTTTTTTACGAGAACGTCATTCTTCACAAGACTTTCACCATCTCCAAGCCAAATGACTCGGTTATTAACGAACATATCAATCTACCGAGAAAGTCAATGACGGGTGTGCTTTGCTTATTTACAGAGAATCACACAGCGGGAACTAGAGACTCTGAAAAATTTGTCAACCCAGATATAAAATCGGTTCATGTAAACATCGACGGAATGCCAAATCGACTCTATTCAAAAGGAATGATACCGACTGATTTGTGGGAGTCGGTAAAGAAAGGTCTTGGGTTCACGAGTTCGCTTAAGCAAAAAGATTTTTACACCAACAACAAGTTTGCTCTGTGGATCGACTTGAGGGCGCACCCAGATAACAGCATTCACGGAGGAGGTCTGGTCTTGAACAACACGCGAGACGGAGTAAAACTAGAAATGAAACGGAAAGTAGGAGGAACGGGAAATATCAACTGTCACATGTTTGTAGTGGCCGATGCGTTGATGGARGTTAYGAACTCGAATTTGAAAGCAATCATGTATTAAAARAGACTTGTGTGATAATACAAAGAATGGAAGAATTACGAGATAAAACACCATTTCATTGTATTATCACAGGACCTACTAATTGCGGGAAAACAAAATATTTAATAGAACAACTCCGAGGACCGTTTCGGCATGTCTTTGAGTACATTGTCTTGATGTGTCCGACCTATGCAAAGAATAAGACCTATCACAGATTTGCCAAGGGCGACAAACGCTTTATTGTGCTGTCWCCRGATGCTAGCAACAGTGATGAGATTAACGAACTGTTAAAGTTAACCACAGAATTGCTCTCTGGTACAAATACTTTAATTATTTTAGATGACTGTGCCGTGTCCAAGGACTTGAAGCAACGTTCTAACAAGTTTATCGATCTTGCCTTTTCTGGTAGGCATGAGGGATTATCTGTATGGGTTTTGACACAACAACTAACCTCAATAGCTAAACCATTTCGTGACAACGTCGCCTGTGTAGTGGCATTCCATAATCCATCTCAAATTGGTKCAAAAACTCTCTTTGAAGATTATGGAGGTGACTTGGAYGTTGAAACACGTAAAMAATTCATAGAACTTTTAAAAGCAGAACGATATTCGAGGCTGTGTTTCTGTTTGAGGTATCCATTTCAGTGTTATTTGGAGATTCCTGTGGTGATTTAAAAGAATCTATGTATTATCATAAAGTAAGATGTCAAGCGTTGAGGATTATATGAAAGAGGAACCTGAGGTTGAGGTCTCCTCTGCACCTAAAGATGATGATGTTGAAGTAAAACGCGAGTCACTGGCCATTCTCGCATCGTTGGGGACTACTAAGGAGTATCTCGGTGTTAACATGAGTTTAGGTGATATTAAGAAACTCTCAAACAGTGAAGTCGAAAAGTACTTTGTTCGCTATCAGACTGTCTTGGGAAAACAGGTCACATCCGGTTTAGTAGAGTCRGCTATTCAAGTAGCCACTCAAGCCATATCTTATGTAGTTCCTATTGATGACTCTGATGCTCTTTGCAAAGACTTGCAGAACGACGAGTTGGTAAAGCGTGAACTTTCAARCTTTGCAGGTCTCTTGGTGTTGAAAGGGGGTCGAATGGTWGCACTTGCTAGCGCCCTCTTTCAAGTCGCTAAGCATGTTAAATTAAGAGMATCAGAGGAGGTTGATAATAAAATCCAAGARCTTYCAAGCACAACTGAGCAAGCTCTTGAGCACAACTAAGCAAGCTCTTGAGCACAACTAAGCAAACTCTTGAGCACAACTAAGCAAACTCTTAAGTACACTCTTGATCGGTCTTGAGCTGATTTAAAGATTCTTTATTTATTCAAATAAAGAATCATGTCTAACGAAAATCAAGAGGTTGAACAAATAACAAAGGATCCTCTTCCTGAAAAGAAGAGTGCCGTTAAAGAGAAAGACCCTAAAAAGGTCGCTGCGGGTAAGAAACTTGCCGAATACAATAGGAAGGCGAAAGAAGCACTAGCTAGGGAAATGAAACGTGAGGCTGACCGAAGCCCTGAAGAACCGACTGATGGAGGAACAAGCGAATCTCGAGCCTGGATTCCGGAGCTATCTTTTACAACCGTGCTTTCTCTATTTGGATTACGGTTTACAGCAGTGGATATGTATATGCGTTTTTACAAAAAGAAAGAGGGTGAACAGAGCAAGAATAATAGTGAATTCAAAGAGGGTGAACAGAGCAAGAGGTCGACTCAACCCTCAAAGATTCCTGAAGCCACTACCCCAAAAATAGGAATGTTGTGATTTAAAGATTATCTGAATCTGTAATAAAAATCATGTCAAGCGAACAAAACAAACTTGTGAAAACACTAACAGATGCCTCAGTTCTTATCGGCTTGTCCGCTGGTGTGGGGTATGTTGGAAAGAAAATAATGAAGGAACCGTTTATCAATGACCCCTCTTCATCTATCGTTAATTATGCCAAGTGGGTTGCGGTTCTGTCAGGTAGTATGTACTTGAAAGATTATCTGGAAAATCAAAAGATCATACCTAAAACCATCTAAAAAAATACTTCTTCGATTAATAAATGACAACTATAGCCYTRATGATTGGTGGAGCTATTCTTAATGCGACGACGTTTGTTGGAGGGAGTTACCTAGCAAGATACTTATCTTCTGATGGYCATCATGTTGATAAAGAAAAAATACGACATGATAAAGCGCTTGARAAGTATCAACAAGCAATGGGTGAGTGGCAGAAAAAAAGACAGGAATATCAGGATTGGTTGGCGGAAGAATACAATAAYAAAGTTMSTGCAGATGAGAACGAAAAAAAGACAGATGAGGCTTTCAGATTATATTCTCAAACACATCCTGATGCAGGAAACTTGAAAGAGCCTGAGTTCTCAGACTACTACAGGCCTAGTGACACACAAAAGAAAGCGGAGATGGCTTATGTTGGAGGTGGGATGCTAGCTCTTGGCTATGTAGCGAGTAAATGGTTATAGTTCTTCGATGTAGATTTAAAAATTTCTTATTTTCAAATAAAATAAGAAATGGATATTGACCCAGAGATTCCCGATAGAGAAAATCCTTTCGAACCCGWTGATCCGGGCGATGATAATGAGGGTGAGACAATCCCCATGACATCCACATCAACTCATGATCCTTTCCACCGTCATACTACAG